AGTAGAGACGGGGTCTCGCTCTTGCTCAGGCTGGTTTCGAACTCCTGAGCTCAAACGATCCTCCCGCCTCGGCCTCCCAGAGTGCTAGGATTACAGGTGTGAGCCACCGCGCCCGGCCAAAAGTTGCTGATTTTTAAAGACTGCTTTCCGTCAGCTCTTCCAGAACCTTCTTCTTGGCTATGGAAGTTGGTCCTAATGACAATGATGCAATAACTGACTAGATGTTTCCTGGGACCCAAAAGGGAGCAGACTGAGTCCAACCTGACCTGCGGGGCCAAGCCCCGCGGGACCCGGGCTTAACGTCCAGCCTGGATTGGCCGAGGCCAGCTCACCCCGAGCACTTGGGACAGAAATGCTTTCACGTGCCACTGAGATTTGGTGGCTGTCACGCAGCACCGTGATGTCGTACTCACTCACTGCCGTACAGGTGGAGAAACCAGAGAGAGGCAAAGGAGTTAGGGGCCAGGGCCAAGTTCAAGGAGGAGCCCAACGCAGGCGAGTGGGAGACTCACATCCCGTCCGTCTTCTCAGCGTCCCACTCGCGCCGCCACTGGCCGGTGGGCTTACGGTGTCTCTGCAGCCGCTCCTGGTCGATCTTCTCCCGCTCCTGCTTCCAGCGCAGGTACTCTGAGCGCTCCCGGCCCGTCATGGACAGCGTCATGTCTCCAGCACCGCTCAGGCCGGCCCGGCGGCCCTGCCCCACCCCGGCGACAGGCAGTCACCAGCTGATCCAAACCCACCCCACCCCGCCCCGCCCCTCAACTCAGAGGTGGATCCACTCGCTCAAGGTCACAAAGCGGAGACAAGAACCAGGTCCACTCAAGTGGCACCTCCTGGCAGAGGCCCTCCCAGCCCTCTCTTTCTCAAGAAGCACCCCTCCGTCCCCCCACCCTGCGGGACTGTTCTTCACAGCATTTGGCATTGCCTGACGTCTCACTGCATTTCCATTTACTTAGCTGCCACCAGGACAAACGTCACCAGGACAGGGGCTTTGCCCCACAATTCTCATCCCCAGCATCCAAAACAGTGCCCAGCACACAGTAGGTGCCTAGTTAGTAACAAAGCAAAACCCCAAAACCATAAAGCTATAATGGCAGCAGTGTGTACCAGCGGAAGAGCCCATAGGCAACTTGGGGACAAACCACCGATTGCGGGAACGTTGCCTGTCCCTCCTCTCCTGGGCCGGATCCCTACCCCTCACACGGCCACATGGAGGGTGCATCGTAAATGCTCCAATTATCAAGAACGAGGGAGACTCGCCCCAGCAGGAAACAAAGCATGCCCAAATCCTTAATAGTTAAAATTGTGCGCTACCGGCGGCGAGAGAGACGCTGTGGTCCCCGTCTGTCTCATTCTGCCGTGCACTCAGCCCGTCAGAACACTGGGTGCCCCGGGTGCCCCTGCTGCCAGCACCCACCTGCCGCTCGTGCTCAAGGCCGCAGCGTACCCGCTCGAAGTCGGGGCCCCCCCAGTTGCGCCCATGCCGGCGGCTGCCCTCCCGGCGGTCCCGCTCGGGCTCCTCCAGGGGCCCGCTGCGTCGCCGGGGGTCATCCAGGAAGTTCCTCACCGGGTTTGGCTCGAGCACCCCTTCCTGCGGGCAGGCAGGGGAGGAGGGGTTGGCGGGCTGCCCAGGGGCTCGGGCAGCTCTGCCCCGCCTCGGGGACGGGGACGCCTGCACTACTGACCCGCTGGTTGCGCTCGTACTCTGCGATCTTCTCCATCTCCTCGTTCATCTTCTCGATGTTCTGCCTGCGCCGCTCCTCCCACTCCTGGGGGGGCAGGGGGGACAAAAATGGAGACACTGGCATCAGGGGGACTACTCAGCCGCT